ATTAAAAAGAAGTCTAGGATTATTCTTATTCTCCTATTTTAATGAGGAGAAATATGCTGCTCTTGCTTTACAAGGGTCCTCTTATACAGCAATAAACTATTTTTCCAGATTAAGTAGAAATATTTTAGATGTGTAAAGCGCCATTCTCTCTCCAGTGTTGCACAGTTATGCTTTAAACTAGATAGCTAAATTTAACTTTTAATAAAGTTCCTCTTTTTCAGGAGGGCTACGTTGTTTAATGCCACACACAAAAAGGAAATACAGTCATCACAGAATCATCAATTTGTGAATGGAAATAAACTCAATTTTTGCTATATGGATCACTCCACAGCGACACAGAAGAGGAAGAGAGCGAAACAGATTCTTTAAAATGTATAACTGCATTATCTGTTAAGTGAAGCCTTCTTTTGGAGGAGGAGGAAAACTATTTTAACGTAATCCAGAGGGTTATAAAAATGGTCAGAGAGGACAGGGTAGTGAGGAAATACTGTTTTTTCTTTACATTCTATGCCGTATGTCAGCACGAGGTCGAAAGTATGAAGAAGAGAATGTGTGGGACTATTCACATTTTGAACAAACCCAACCAGTCACTTTTAATACAGACTCCATCTTCATGCATTATAAGGGACCAACTGTGATATAAGTAAATATAAATACCAAAATAAAAAAATAAATAAATGCTCAAACATTTATTATATATACAAATACACATCTAATTACAAAACATTAATGAGATAAAATAAATGTAAGCAGTAGGGATGTCCCTACTGCTTAACAATTTTATTGATATCAGATATCGATACAATATTAGCTCAAAACTAATATTGGATTTTATCAGCCAGCATCTAAAATAACCAATATTTTTCATGCTGATTAAAGTACTCTGCTTCAGTTATCAGTTTCTGTAACCAATTGGCAAATTTTACATGCATCAATGGTTTTCTTACCTTTTGTAGTTAACTTTTGTCTTTTCTAACATTCTACTGTATAAAATAGGTAATAATAGTGCTTTGACTCTTTGCTAAAATCCTATCGAGTCAATATCGGTATCATCTAATTCTCAAACCTGGCATTGTATCGGAAATGAAAAAGTTCTATCAGGACACCCCTAGAAAGCATTAATCAAATTATACAATTATACATTTTAATTTATGCAGAGTATTCATATTGCAGAGTTTCAGTTCCAATCACTTTGATGAATGATAAAATAAAATTCCCATACCCACACCTCCACACTGGGTCAGTACTTTCTTTATATTTATTATCTAACAGCTTTTTACTTTCAAATAAAGTCCAGTAAGAAGACCCATTAATTCCAAATGAGCCTGGGGTTTTATGTCTTCCAGTCCTTTTCTGCTGTCATTTTGATCTTGGTTAAATTTTTAGGATAAGTAAACGAGTATCAAGGCTCTGAGGGATTTATGTTCTGGGAGGAGTGATTCATGTCAAACCTGTCTCTGGTTGCGAAAAGGTTCTGTGTAATTTGTTTAGGGCTGTACTTTAAGGGCATTTCATTGGTATTTCATTTTTATTGCTTATTTGGAACTAACTGACGCCCTAAGAAGACCCCTCCCCCTGGAAATGAGTGGATAAAAGGCTGTTCCACTCACTGGTCTTCACAACATCATCTTCATCAAGCTGACAAAGGTAGGAACAAACAGTCTGATGTTTATGGAAGCTGAGCTTTTCCTGTAGTTGATTTTGGTTGTATTTCTGTCAGGATTGATCTGATTTCTCAGAGAAAATGGTGGTGACATACGAAGTAACTGTGTACACGGGAGATGCTACTCACAGCAGCTGTTTCCACGATGTCTTCATCACCTTGTGTGGCGAACATGGTGATAGTGAAGAAAATAAACTCTCGAGCACTTTTCCATACTTCCACATAGACAGTGTAAGTCTAAAAAATATATTTTCTGCATCTTGAAACACTGCATGTTTCTTCTGGTATAAGACCTGAAAAGCTGAAACATCTAGTAGAAGTGAGTTTTATTCAAAGAATCTCAGATTATTGGCAGTTAATGAAGCCCATTCTGATTATGTACAATGGTTCTGTTTGATCCACACAGTTGAAGTTTGACTTAAACCACGGAAACATGTGTTTGTAATGTTGATTTAACTTTGGACCTAAGCTCAGGTTTAAGACATGCTCCTTGTTGTTTCAGGCTTTGAAATTTGAGGTAAATTGTGACAAGCCTCTTGGTAGGGTTTGTCTCATCATACTTCGAAAAGAGCACCATGTATGGTGGCCAAACACTAAATGGTTTCTTGCTAAAGTGGAGGTAAAATCTCCATTAGGAGAAATCTACCAGTTTCCCATCTACCGTTGGATCAATGACTGTGAGGATCACTATTTCCCTGAGGGGTCAGGTTGGTCCATTTTTAACACATTTCACTTCGCTGAGAAATAAGCTATTTTGGGTGAGAGGAGACGAAAGCAGGTTCCCAACAAACTGATAAAGATTTCTATTTGTTTCCTTTAAAGCTCATCTTCTCAGCCAAGTAAAACATGACATCCTCAAGAAATACTGGGAGAAGAACATCAAGGAGAATCAGAAACTCTATGAGTGAGAACTGCTACACCATCTATTCATTAATCCATCCATCCATCCATCCAACCACCAACCATCCAATTCATTGCCTCATGAGGCTGGGATTACAAATAATCTGTTAGATGAAAATATAACACATACTGTATTTAGCTTCTGTTTCTGGGATTCCCAGTAATGTTAATTCATCCTGCAAACTTAGTATCTGTTGTTGCTTCTCTAACTTTTTTGACATTTTCTCTGGTTCACTAAGATGGGCTGAGGGTGACAAGGGATTGCCGTCCCACTTGAAAGACGAGTCGTTGCCTCTTGATGCTAATTTCTCCTACACCAAGGAAGCTGAGATGGCCTTCACTGCTGTTGAAGCGTAAAAAAAAAAATGTTCCTCATGTTTCTCCTCATTATCTGAAATAATGTTTCTAACAGTGAATTTATTGTTTGTAGAATTGCAGAGCTGAAATTGGAAGAATGGGCTGAGATGAAGAAAAAGTGGACTAATATTGATGATATTGAACGTCTGTACAGCTGCCATCGCACTGAAATATCTGGTACTGAGTCATTACTGCTTGAATGTCTGGTTCTGGTGGTCCTTCCCTGACCCAGAACCAGTTCCTACTGGTCTCTTTGGTTCCTCCCACGGTCAACAGATCTCATAGTACCTTATTTAACCTAAGAGACGTCACTCCTCATAGCACTGCTTTGATGTTGCTGTTGAATCTGAATAAGAAAAGTCCAGATGTAACGTCTATATTTGGTCTCATTAGGGCAGCAGTGGAGGATATTAGCTAAAATATTCAGTGTCTTTTCAGATTATGTCCATGACCATTGGAAGGAGGATTCCTTCTTTGGCTACCAGTTCCTGAATGGACTGAACCCAATGGTGATCCAGCGCTGCCAAACTCTGCCAGATAACTTTCCTGTCACCGATAAGATGGTCTTCAAGGATGGTAAACAGTCTCTAAAAGAGGAGATGAAGGTGAACATCTGACATCAGAAGGTGAACAATTTATTCTATGACTGTAAACCATTCTTGTAACTTTGAGTTTCTCCTAATATCTTCTAACAGAACGGGAACATCTTTCTGTGTGACTATAAGATGTTGGACGGAGTGAAAGCCAACATCATAGATGGGAAGCAGCAGTACCTGGTGGCTCCTCTTGTTCTGTTGCACAGAACTCCTGATGACAAATTGATGCCCGTTGCTATTCAGGTGAGGCCAGCAGTTATTCAAGGAACCTCCAAACTTCTTCCCTTCAACATTTTTTCACATTCTCCATTGGACAAGGTGCCACTAAGACTTTGTTAACGGGGTTGATGGCAAAATTATGTCCAATTCCACATTGCACAACCTCTCTGGATGCTCCGGATTCCCAGTTCCTCCATAATGGATTCTAATCCAGTAATATGAAGACGGAGATAAAAGACAAGGGTTGATTTATCATCTGCTAAACCAGACATTTCCTTCTTGGTCTTCTGTAACTCATGATCTGGATGAAAGATCCACCGGCATCTCATTTTAGTCTGTCAGCAAAACCCTAAAGAAATTAAAGGAAAGATTTATTTGATATTTTCAGTGTAAGATTCTTCTATTGCAATAAGAAATTAATGTAACTGAAGTTTAGGGTGAGGATATAGAGAAATATATCTATCAAGATTATTGCAGTATTAGGGGAAAATTCATTTTACATGTGCAATTATAAGGGCTTTGTTGGGAAATACAAGAAATCAATTTAAATATCAAAACTTGCTTAACATGCATTTAAAAAAGGATTTTATCTCGGCTCCAGCTCCACTCTGTACTCTACGCCCATTATTAGCTGGATCTACTTTGGTTATTTGGTTTTAAATGATTTCATCGGGCATTTGGTAGCCATCTTCCACTTCAGAGAAGTGATTGAGGTTCATCTGTTTTCATCCTGCAGCTGAAGCAGACTCCAGGGAAAGACAATCCCATCTTCCTTCCCTCTGACTCGGAGTGGGACTGGTTGTTGGCCAAGACTTTTGTGAAGAATGCCGATTTTAACCTGCATGAACTCAGTGTTCACCTGCTGCGTACCCACCTGCTGGCTGAGGTCTTCAGTGTGGCTCTGCTGCGCAACCTACCCATGATGCACCCTCTCTACAAGGTACAGCACATTAATCATGCTATTTATCCTGGTCAGTTAGCTCCTGATTTAAGCTACAAGGTTGGACTGGCATAAGGGACGTCTGGGGATTTCTCGGTTGGGTTAGAGGGCCTAGTGGTTCAGCCCATGGAGGTGCTGTCGCACTTAGACTCCAGTTCTTCTCTTTCTTTTCTTAGCCCAGTTAAATAGAGCCATTGAGGGTCAGCTGACTGACAGTTTGCTACATAGATACATCCAGGATCTTGCTGCTGCAAAGCAGCAGTGCTAGAACCTGCATCAGCTCACTGCACTTAGTTTAATGATGACAGGATTTTTCAGAAAAGCAGTTCTGTACTTCTTTTCCTTGCAAGAACTTATTGGTGTATAAACCAAATGAAAAACCATGGTTAGGATATTTATTGGTCTCGGGAGAGGAACATTTTTATAATGCAATCAAGTCAACTAAAGTCATTTGAAATGAAAAAATACGGAAAACTAAATCATGGAATGCCTAAAAGCTGTTTTTATGTCAAAGCTATTGTCTGAATTGATATTATTAAGACAACATGGAAACACCTCAGCTGTTTAGAAAACTCTTATAATTTTTTTTAAATTTATTTCGGTTGTTCTTGAGACTAAAATGAACAAGAAGATTAAAACAAAAAGTTGGTCTAATTATTTTTACTATCATTGCATAGATATAAAGGCTGATCTTTTTCCTTCAAGGTTAAACCCAGCAGTTAAAACTGGGCCAATCAGTCCAGAACTCGGGAGTCACTTACCTCCCCAGTCCGTCCCTGCTTTGATCCATTAGGATCATCTATTTTTTTTCTCAGGAACCAAAGTTTAACAAACGTGACGCGTTGTTATAAAGTTACCTGCTAGTTACTAACAGTTGTTCTGCTTCAGCTTCTTGTGCCTCACACTCGCTACACTGAGATGATCAACTTCATGGCGAGAAAATACCTCATATCTGAGGAGGGCGTTTTCACCAAGGTATGCAGGAAACGCAGAGTCATGAACCATGTCCACACTCTGCTTATCAGCTGACACACTCTGTTTTCCTCTCTAGTTTGCTTCTTCTGGTGGAGAAGGTATGTTCACCATCCTGCAGAGGGCGCTCTCCTCTGTGACCTACAGATCTCTCTGTCTACCAGATGACCTCTCTGACCGCGGGCTGATGGATGTGCCCAACTTCTTCTACAGAGACGATGGCCTGAAGCTGTGGAGCATCATCAACAGGTTCCAGACTGTTTGCTTTTAGCCCAGTAGTAGAAAATATCAAGGTTTGGGTTAAACTCTGTGGCTCCCTGCAATGATACCTGTTCATTATGCAGCAACAGATAAATCGATGGTTTTTAGACCTGCTTAGCTCTGCAGGTCCAGTCGGGTCCAGTTTCTGTCTACCAGGTTGCACCGTGGGCTGGTCACTTATCACCTGCAGAGTTAACACAGAGAAGCAACGGTCTAACAGTCTGATGCTAGGCTAACATGCATTATGTTAGACTTATGAGAGTAAACTGACAGCTAGAACCTCATCAGAGTTTAAACCCAAGACCACAGGCAGCAACATCTTCATGTTGGGGTTGTTTATTTCTAAGCTATTCTTTTATATCTTTAAGCGCATTAATGTGCCTTATCATTAGAATTTTTGTTGTTAATTTTGTTAGAGCATTTCAAGACCTAATACCCAAGTTGGGTCACAGCCTTAACTTTAGGAGTCAATGGGTTATGTTATTGGAAACTAAATCTACATATATCTGGGCATGGTGGAGATGCAGATGCAGAGCGACCCATGTTTAAGCACCTTGGTCCTGGGTGCAGCTGTCCCAACTTCAAGTCCTGCATGTCTTCCTCTGTCTCTCCACCCCATTTCTTATCAGCGCTGTTCACTTTGCAAACACCAAAATAAATGAAAAACATAAATCTTACTCTGGGTACTTGTTCACTGTCTTTCCATTTTTACCTTTTCCCTGAGTTGAATTGTTCTTAATTCTCTATATAATAGCATCATGGCTATAAACTGATATGACATTGACTATAAACTGCAACATGAATTAATCTGAACCTCTCTAAAGTTTTGTGCAGCGAGTCCTTACATTCTACTACAAGAGTGATAAGATGGTTAAAGAAGACCAGACTCTGAAGATGTGGATCTCAGATATACATGCACATGGATTTAATAATAACATCAAACGTGGGTTGATGCTTTAAGAATGGCTATCAATACCCTCATTGTCAAATAATTACTATTTTTCCTTGAATTTTTTTATTTTCTTCCCTAATTTTCAGATATGCCATCAAAAATGGAAACTGTGGATGAGTTGGTGAAGTTTGTCACCATGGTGATCTTTACCTGCTCGGCCCAGCACTCAGCTATAAACACTGGACAGGTAAACTGCTCTGTTATAGAAATATAAAGAAGGCTTGGGTTAAAGGAAATGAGGATCAGGATGAGAATGATTCTCTCTCCAAGTAGTCCTTCCCTCCCAGGAGTCGATTAGGCAGTTAAAATCCCCCCTGGAGGAAATACCCTGGCCTCCGGACAGCCCGGGGGAATCTAGGTTGACACATTTCTTTAAATTGCATTGAAGACTAGCCCCAGAGTGGTGGTCCCATCTTTTAACTAGGAATATAAGACAAGTCTCAAAGTTTGGAGCAATTTGAATTTTCAGTTTGAGGGGAACCTTGAATTAGGTTGTTGAAAAGAAGACTCTGACTGATGTTCTGAATGAAGATTCAGTAGATGCAGTTAAGTGTCCATTGGAGTTGGTTCTCTGGTGAATGTGGTCATGATCACTTCCCCCAGCATCTTTTCCTGGGGATGCTGTCAGAGTACACAATCGCTTTCTGGTCATTGTATTCCTTGCAGACAGGTAGGATTCCATTTAGGCTGACAGTCCAGTTTGTATTGTTCATAGTTTAGGTGCAGTTATGGCCTCTATGGTTCTGTACAGCTCATTTTACTCTGAGGTCCTTTTATCCACCAGAAAAAAAGCTAGACCTTCACCGTAGGTCTGGGATGCAAATCTGCATCAGTGGTAAGACCTTAATACACGTGGTGTCTTGGTTACAATAGGAATGAGTGGGAGATGGACTGACAGACTGACACAGGGATAATGATGCAACTGGACTGTGCTACTTGAGTAGGAGCTGAGGCAAAAGGAAAAAAAACGACAAAGCTCTCAACTGACCTTCCAGACAATGTTAGCTCATTATTTCATATTTTCTATGCTTTCTATGTTAGGCAGTCCCATCAGTAGGCAACAAAAATAAGATGTTTCAGTGGAAACAGTGGCCAGAAAAAAGACTTTTATCACCGACTTTTTTTGCAGGGATATAAGTAATTCATTTTAGCATTCTCCTTTAGCTCGATCTATGAATAATCTAACTCAGAAAAACATGAATTTTGTTATTTATTTGTTTCAAGTTATTTTGTTATCATAGTATTATGGAATGTTTTTCTAAGACAATGCATTCCTCTATGGTACACACCTATTTTGTTCTCTTTTTGTTTGATTTTTGGACAAATCTGTAGAATATGTGATACTTTTTTTTCTTCTATGTGGAAAAGTATGTCTTTGGAAAAACTGCTGTAAGGATCTGAAATATGGCTGCTTGGAGGATTGAGTCTAACATTCATAACAATTATGGAAGAAAATAATAAATAATTTCAGGAAAATTATAGTTCATGCATTTTTATTCAAATGTATTATCAAAGCAGCTGTAACAGGTGGGTGTGTCACCTGTTGGGTTTGTTCCTGCAGTACGATTTCATTGGCTGGATGCCCAACACCCCAGTCTCTCTGGAACGTCCACCACCATCTAGAAAGGGAAACGCTACTGAGGCCACGCTGCTGGACACGTTTCCTGCCATCAACACTACCGTGCAAGGGATGGCAGCAGTTTGGCTGCTCAGCAAGCGGTCCTCCGACTCTGTGAGTAGCTTTGTAAACATGTCCTAACAGAAGCATACCTCTTCTCTGTGGGTGACAGAATCTACATCAGCTCTGCCTGGTTCTAGTCAGAAACACTGTGGTAATAGTAGTGCACCATTAGGGGGCGATGGCATTACCACCATCACAATGATTAGAAGATCATGAGTATCCCTGTTCCCATGCATAGCGATGTCTGTGGCATGCACTCACTTACAATTTTAAAGTTGATTTATTAAAAATGCTTTTCAGTGAAAGTCAACAGCAATAACTCCAATAACAAATCATAATTTTATTCAAAATGTATTTATTAAAAAATGCTTAACAATTCCTTTAATGAATGAATAGCACAATGAAAGAAATAATGTCTCATCTAAACATCCCTCACTTAACAATAAAAGTTAACAATAACTCTCAACTCCCAATATGATGATACTCAGCCTCAGCAATGAACGAAATAATGTCTGTTCTGTAGGCTATTGGAAAAAATAAATTAACAAATGAGCTAATTAACAAAAAATACCTCTTGTTTAGCAAAAATAACTCAAAATGTACCAAAAACTAACAAACATATCAATAGACTATCTTTACTTTCGGTGTCCAGGTGGCTTTTCAGATCCCTTGCACCTCCATTGGACACAGAGACATATGTGCCTGCTTTGCACACTGTGCACAAGGCCTCCCGTTTGTCTCGACCCGCTCTGAAAGCGGGGAAACTCTTTTGTAAATCATCTGTAAACATACATATGCGCTTTTGCATGTTGTTGGCGTGCTGACAGCCACGCTATCTATATTCTGATTAAGAACAGGGCTGCCCGCACTGACGCGGCTCAGGGATTACGTCAGACGCAGCGTTGTGCGCAGTGCCCTAGTGCCTGTAAATTTAATGGTCCAATGAAGGTAATTTAAAAAATCAGGACATTTCCTCACTTTCTAAAAAAAACCCGGGATGCCCGGGACAGGACGTGAAATACAGACATACGGACGTTTGGTCACCCTATCTAACATTAGAAGAAACAGGTTCCTGGTGCATGAAAGCCTGTTAGGTTATAATTTTATTATTATTAACACACATGAGCTTTTTAGATTTAAGGCAAACCTCCTAAAATCATCAGTTTATCAGAGGAATTAATGTTATTAGTGGTTGACTGAACATGCCTCTGATGTCAACAGGTGTATCTTGGTAACTACCCTGAGCAGCGTTTCGTTGAGGACACTCCACTCCAGGAGATAAAGAGGTTCAAAGAGCAGCTGAAGAAGCTGAGTCAGGCCATCAACGAGAGAAACAAACATCTGGATCTGCCGTACACATACCTGGACCCCAAGGTGGTGGAGAACAGCGTCAGCCTCTAAGGGTCGGTTCCTTTCAGGATTACGCCTGAGGACGAGCTTCTGGGTTTGGTGGAGGGGATCTACTGCATTTATCTTATAAAACTTCAATGATTTTTGTTTTTCTGTTTAACTCATTGTGCTTCTGAAGCTGCATGATCTAAATGGGAATCAAGCAAAGTTCTGTAGCGCAACTCTGAAACTTTGGCAAACTAATAAAAACCTGAAATATTTCTGAAGTCACTGTTTTATTGTCCCTTAAACATTAGAACAGATGTTCCAGAATACAGTAGAGTTCTTCCTGGGCTTCTTATTGAGCAGAGAGAACAATATCTACATGCTGAACTGCAGTACCTTAATAATCATCACCATCACACCATCATCATCATCATCATCACTCTTGATTGCGTAACTTTTAAAAATATATGCATATAATATCTGGGTTTGTGTCAGGTTGAGTGGAGGTCTGAAGGACCCAAATGCAGGGATGGAAGCTGAAGTGGTTTCTTGCAGATTTATTCTTGACCCAAAGGAAACAGAAGCAAAGTTCCAGAAAAACCAAAATCCAGGAGATGTCAGGGAAAACGCGCATGAAGGGTCAATAAATGACGGGGGACCAGCAAACAGTGACTGAACAGGTGGCAGAGATGGCAAAAGTACTCACTTTCCGTACTTGAGTAAAAGTACAGATACTTGTGTTAAAAAATACTCTGGTAAAAGTGGAAGT